GCGAGTCTTACTTGCTCCTGTGGATATTCAGAAACGACAGTATCGATGCTATAGTAAACATTTTCTTATCCGGGCAACATTTATTATTTCCTTATTAACTATCGTACAGTGCTTATTTTTTGCTCAATCTTTCAAGTGGTTTTGATTACTTACATCTCGCAAAATAGTCTTTTATTGTAATTACCTTAATTTTTGAGTCTGAGGAGAGTTATCGACGTTCTCTAACTCGCAAAAGAAAACTGAAATAATCTCACATTAGTTTAAAACAGTTCGTCGGCAATGATTTTTTTTACATACATTTTTTTTTTTAGTTAAATTGTTCCCGCATACCAGCGGAGGAGTCCGCAGGGTGCACAATTAGGACTCGCTGTACGGTGCGTTGATGCTCCTAAGGAGGCTGCGAAAAGGGTCCCAAAAGAGCATGCTCGCAGGAGAAAAGGACATTTTCAATATATATGAAAAAAGTGTACCTTTAGGACTACTTAAATGAGTGATTTCGGTGCCTCAAAAAGCAAAGACTCCTATTCACCTATGATTTTGTGAGAAGGACTCCTTAAATCCTCCGATGATAACTAAGACGGACTGTTTTCGGAGTGCTCGGATAATAGACCTGGAAAACAGGCTTTACGGTTTTTTAAAATGTTCTTAATTTTGTTTATAATTAATAAATACTTAAGTTTTTTGATCATTTATTTTTATTGAAAAAACGCTAAATTAGATATGATTTATTCAGTAAAAAAAAAACAGATACAAATGGAAAAATCCTGAAATAAATCAAACAAGTATTTATTATTGTTGTTGTTGTAGGCTAGTCGATCGATTGCGATTGTGCAAGAAAAAAAATTTTTTCTTCACGTTTTGCCCAACGTTTCGCTAATCACCTTAGCATCTTAGGGGCGAATCTTTATTTAAATAACAACAAGAAACAGAACAATGTTATCGAAAAATAATAATGTACATATGTATATACATACATACCGTCGCCTGGGTAAAAGATTGTCGTAAGCGCAGTTTTGACGACTTTTAGTTATAGATGCAGTTATATATTTTGAAATCAGTCGTCGACTAGCATTCGCCGTGTACGGTACTATTTCGACTGCGCTTTGACTATCAGTTTCCTTGATCGGTTCAGTTATATTTCAACAACAACTCCCCTACAGTTATTCTTTTTGTTTTCCTCTGAGCAGGTTATAAGAGAACACGTGCTTAACACAAGTGCAAACAGCATTAATTAATTAAAATGCCCCCGGGGCTTTCAATTTTGGGGACAATAGGTTTGCTTCCCTAGCACCCAGTCCCAAAATAAAATAAAAAACGCATACTCAGTCCTAATAACGATTTCCCCGAACTTGCAGCCCCTTCTATTACTCAACCTAACCCTAAATTTATTGTAGTCTCAGCTATAAATGAACAAAAACCGCTGTCGCAATACTCCTGCTTTGCCGTCCATAGATCACTACA